AGTGTCTGTGGCAAAGTAATACCCTGTACACTATTTTACTTGAAATATAGTGAGGCAGAAAGAATAGGAGTGAGGGTAGAGGCTAGACCATAGCTCTACTGAAGTTTCTGCAAGAAACACAAGGCAGGGCGGGGGAAACAGTTTAGCACTGGTCAGTTTGAATAATTTCAGTGGGCTCTGAGCTCTAAGGGCAGGCTCTTTGCTGTCTCTCATAATTGGCTGGCCCAGGGAGGTGCACTGCATCCCTACCAGATAGGGATTTTTAAGATGAGAAAATATAATATACCGAAAATTTAAAAATACACACAATACAGGAAGTATTTTATTCTTATGGATAAATACCCAACAGTGAAATAGCTTGATCTATGGTAGGTGTATGTTTACCTTTTTGAGAATTTGCTAAACAATATTTACAAGCAGCCAGACCAAGGTGCCCTCCCACCACCAGCATATGAGAGGTCCAGCTCTTCACACTCACCAACACTTGATGTCTTAGTCTGTTTGCATTGTGATAAAGGAATACCTGAGGTTGGTTAATTTATAAAGAAAGCATGTTTATTTGGCTTGTGGTTCATTCAGGTGGCACAAGAAGCATGGCACCAGCTTCCACATCAGGTGAGAGACTCAGGCTATTTCCACTCATGGCAGAAGGTGAGGGTGGAGGGTGCTGATCACATGGCGAGAGAGAAGCAAGAGAAGAAGCAGGCAGGTGCCAGGCTCTTTTTAACAATCAGTTCTTGCTGAAACTAATAGATGGAAAGTTCACTCGTTACTGGGAGGGGGCACTAGGTCATTCATCAGGGATCCATCCAAACACCTCCCACTAATCCCCACTTCCAACATTAGGGATCACATTTCAACACTGATTTTGTAGGGACAGATAACTCAACTGTATCATTTGATATGGTCAGTCTTTTTCATTGCAGCTATTTTAATGGGATGTGGATTAAACCTCAGTTTGATCACCCTAATCATTAGTTGTCTTGAACGTCTTTACATGTGCCTGTTTGCCATATGTGTACCTTCTTGGATTACTCTCTGTTCAAATCTTTGCTCATTAAAAAACATTTTTTAAAATTGAATTTTAAAGGTTATTTATATTCTGGGTATTTATCATTTACCAGTGTGTAGATGTCTTTTTTAAAATAAACTTTTTATTTTACAATAAAATTAGATTTAAAGCAAGGGTGCAAAAAATTGCCCTGAGAGTTCCCATATATCTTTTGCCAGTTTCGCCTATCGCTAAATGTTAGGTTACTGTGCACATTTTTAAAAATTATACTTTAAGTTCTAGGGTACATGTGCACAATGTGCAGGTTTGTTACATATGTATACATGTGCTGTGTTGGTTTGCTGCACCCATTAACTCATCATTTACATTAGGTATTTCTCCTAATGCTATCTCTCCGCCATCCTGCCAACTCATGACAGGCCCTGGTGTGTGACGTTCCCCTTCCTGTGTCCAAGTGTTCTTACTGTTCATTTCCCCCCGACAAGTGAGAACATGCGATGTTTAGTTTTCTGTCCTTGCGATAGCTTGCTGAGAATGATGGTTTCCAGCTTCATCCATGTTACTACAAAGGACATGAACTCATCGTTTTTTATGGCTGCATAGTATTCCATGGTATGGATGTGCCACATTTTCTTAATCCAGTCTATCATTGATGGACATTTGGGTTGGTTCCAAGTCTTTGCTATTGTGAACAGTGCCACAATAAACATCTGTGTGCATATGTCTTTATAGTACCATGATTTATAATCCTTTGGGTATATACCCAGTAATGGGATCACTGGGTCAAATGGTATTTGTAGTTCTAGATCCTTGAGGAATCGCCACACTGTCTTCCACAATTGTTGAACTAGTTTACAATCCCACCAACATCCTCTCCAGCACCTATGCACATTTATCACAACTCATTAACCAACACTGACACATTACAATGAACCAAAGTCTATGTTTTCTTCAGATGTCATTAATTTTTACCTAATGTCCTTGTTCTTTTCTGGGATCCCATCCAGGATACCACATGACATTTAGTCATCACATTTGTTTCATCTCCTCTAGCCTGTGACAGTTTTTCAGAGTTTCCTTGGTTTTGATTACTTTGTCAGTTTTGAGCAATTCCGGTGGAGGTATTCAATAGAACGTTCCTCAGTTTGAATTTGTCTAATGTTTTGATCATGGTAACACGGGTTACAGGTTTTTAGGAGGAAGACCACAGGGTAATGTCTTTTCCCACTGTCTTGCGAATGGATACCCAACTGTTGAAGAGTCATCTTTTCCTCACAGACTTGCCTTTGCACCTTTGAAAAAACTTGGTTGCTCATGCTTCTATTTCTGGGTATTCTATTCTGTTCCAACGATCTGTTAGTGAAATATTTGAGTACTATATACTTGTAATAAATCTTGACATTAGGTAATAATTGCTCTCCATTTTTGTTATTGTAGGTCTTTTACATTTCCATATGAATTTCAGAATCAGTTTGCCAGTTTGTACAAAAAGATAGCTTGCTGGAATTTAGATTGGGGTTGTATTAAATTTATAGATCAACTAAAGAAAAATGACATTTTAACGATTTTGAGTTTTCTGATTCATGAACATATCTATTTATTCAGGTCTCTCACCAATGTTTTGTCATTTTCGGTGTACAGTCTTTCACATCTTTTGCCAGATTTATCTCTTAGTATTTTTTATTTTTGATGCTATTTAGGTGCTGTTTTCATTCCAATTTTCAACTGTTCATTGCTAGTACATTTGACCCTTGAAGAATGCGAGGATTGAGGTACCAACCCCCAAGCAGCAGAAAATTAGCATAGAAGAGTTTTTTGGGTTTCTTTTTGTTTTTTATTTTTGAGACAGAGTCGCGCTCTTTTGCCAAGATTAGAGTACAGTGGCGTGATCTCAGCTCAATGCAACCTCCACCTCCCAGGTTCAAGTGATTCTCTTCCCTCAGCCACCGGAGTAGCTGGGATTAAAGGCATGCACCACCACACGCAGCTAATTTTTTGCCTTTTTAGTAGAGATAGGGTTTCACCATGTTGGCCAGGCTGGTCTCCAACTCCTGGCCTCCAGTGATACACCCACCTTGGCCTCCCAAAGTGCTTGGACTACAGGTGTGAGCCACCGCGCCTGGCACACAGAATTTTTGACTCCCTAAAAATTTAACTATTGATCGCCTGCTGTACATTAGAAGTGTTACCAATAACAGAAACAGTCTCTTGACACATATTTGGTACGTTATATGTGTTATATACTGTATTATTATAATAAAGTCAGCTAGAGAAAAGAAAATGTTACTAAGAAAATCTTAAGGAAGAAAACATTAAGTATTCATTAAGTGGGAGTGGATCTTGATAAAGGTCTTCCTGTTGACTGTCCTCCATTGAGTAGGCTGAGAAGGAGCAAGAGGAGTGTTGGTTTTGCTGTTTCGGGGTGGCAGAGGGGGAAGAAGTGGAGGAGATGGAAGGAGGAGAGTCGGGTACACTTGGTGTAACTTTACCGAATTATATCATAATTATTATTTGAGTTTTTTGCCTTTACAATTCTTTGAACATGCTTTTATGCAGTACTAATCCTTCTTCCCCATTTGCTTTAGTTTCAGTGCCCATTCATGGAAGGGTTTGTGTTGTAAAATAAGTCAAAAGTAATCTTAATAATTGGAAGCCTTTACTAGACTGTTTAATAGGAATTTGTTTCCTGGCATGGCTTCTTCTTTAGTATCTGGTACTCATTCAAAAGCACTCATCTCCATCAAGTCATCTTCTGTTGAGTCCTCTGGTGTGGTATCTATTCGTTCTTGAATTTCTCCCAGTTTCATATCTTGAAAGACCATGTCCCCCACCTTTTGTTGCTGAATTAGAGATGTTGGGTTTGCAGGCAGGTAGACCACTTTGATACCTTCAGTGTTGAACTCGTGGGTTCTGGGTGGCTCGGGGCATTGTCCAAAACAAAAGAACTTTCAAAGACAGTCTCTCACTGGCAAGATATTTCCTGACTTCAGGGACAAAGCAATGATAGAACCAATCCAGAAAAGTGTTCTTGCCGAGGCCTTCTTGTACAACAAAAAAACTGGCAGCGGGTATTAATCTTTTCCTTTCAAGGCTTGGGGGCTAGCAAGGTTATGGATGGGGGCAGTCCTGTTCGTAAAGCCAAACATACAAACATACAAACTATGTCAAAGGCATAGCGTGGGTACTGTGAAAGGAGGGTGAAAACACAAAGATGACATCATCTCTGACCTCAAGGAGTGCTTAGCAGACTGAGGGAGACAAGTATATATTTTCCTGAAAGAGGGCACTGGAGTAATGGCATGTTTAGAATGTGGAAGTTGGGCAGTCACTGAGAGGCAGCTCAGCAGAGTGCTCGCGCAAGGACTGGGCGGGCAACTCCGCACTGCATGCAATGTATCTTTGGAAAGCCATTAAAATAGGTGATGGCTACTTTCCATCAAGTCCCTGGTATAGTCCATGGAGGCAGGGTTGTCAGTCTCATTTCAGCATTTTAGAGACTTCTCAGGGTTTGGAAATGGAAGAAGACAAGCAGCAATGTGTATACATTGCAGAGACACAGGTGAACCCCAAGTTAGGAGGTTAGGAGATCAATGCTAAGGTCCTTGTTTTCTTTACTTGGAGCATGAGTTGCCATCTTTTCTGGACAGAGTTTTTGGTTGCCTAAAGGTAAAATCGAAATTTTGCTTTGGGACATATTCCTAAAACTTTAGCTTTAATCAAATTTACTTTTACTTTATCTTTCTGAACCTTCAAGGTCCAAAAGCATTGGTTAATATTTCTGCTTCTAAACTCACATTGCAGCACAGGGCATGTTCTGCCCCCAAGGCAAAGAACATAAACTACTCTTGTCTGGAAAACATACAAATAGGTATCTCAGCAAAGGCTACTCATGTGTTCTTGTTCTTTTGAGTAAATCATTGTCAGTGACTGATTTTTTTTTTTTTTTAATGAAAGGATAAATACATGCCCTTTATTGGGGTCAGGTTTTGTGCTTGTACTTCTCCTGTCTACTGTATCATAGGAGCTTAGAATCCCAGCTGCTTGCGTTCAGCTGCAGTTCTCTGATGACTCGCACAGGGTGGAGCAGTCCCCTTCCCCTATGTGTGTGTCTGCTGCTGGCCTGTGGATTTGCTGAGGCAGGGAAGCTGCTGGTAGTGCCCATGGATGGGAGCCACTGGTTCTCCATGAGGTCGGTGGTGGAGAAACTCATTCTCAGGGGGCATGAGGTGGTCGTAGTCATACCAAAGGTGAGTTGGCAACTGGGAAGATCACTGAATTGCACAGTGAAGACTTATTCAACCTCATACACTCTGGAGGTTCTGGACCAGGAGTTCAAGGCTTTTGCCCAGGCTCAATGGAAAGCACGAGTACAAAGTATATTTTCTCTAATAATGGGTTCATACAATGACATTTTTGACTTATTTTTTTCAAATTGCAGGAGTTTGTTTAAGGACAAAAAATTAGTAGAATACTTAAAGGAGAGTTCTTTTGATGCGATGTTTCTGGATCCTTTTGATACCTGTGGCTTAATTGTTGCCAAATATCTCTCCCTCCCCTCTGTGGTCTTCGCCAGGGGAATATTTTGCCACTATCTTGAAGAAGGTGCGCAGTGCCCTGCTCCTCTTTCCTATGTCCCCAGAATTCTCTTAGGGTTCTCAGATGCCATGACTTTCAAGGAGAGAGTACGGAACCACATCATGCACTTGGAGGAACGTTTATTATGCCACCGTTTTTTCAAAAGTGCCCTAGAAATAGCCTCTGAAATTCTTCAAACACCTGTCACGGTATATGATCTTCACAGACAAATATCAATTTGGTTGCTGCGAACGGACTTTGTTTTGGACTATCCCAAACCCGTGATGCCCAACATGGTCTTCATTGGTGGTATCAACTGCCATCAGGGAAAGCCAGTGCCTATGGTAAGTGGTCTCTCCTTTAGCACATTAAGAATATTTCAGCTTTAGAAATTAAAAAAGGATTCTTTACTGAAGTGTGATTTGACATTTTCATTTGTTTCATTTCAGATTTCTTTCCAGTTTAACAAATTATTTTGTGCCAGTGCATGTACTTATCAGTTAGCAAATTTTATAAAACTGCCCTTCTTGAAGATATGTATTTATAATTTATAAAATTGTATATCATATGCAGCCTACATTTTTAAGTACCATGTTTAGAAAAGTACCAAAAACCGCAGTAAGAAATGAAACTCCCCTTTTTTGTTAATTCTATATGACCCCCTAGAGGAAATGCTCTTAGTTTTGTGCACATTCTTTTCATTTTTTAAAAAAAGTACATACGCACTATATTTAATGTAAATTCTCACACCTATTTTGTTAAAATAAAATCTAATATTGGGCTGGACATATTCTTCTTTTCTTTGCATTTTTCACTTGCCAATAAATTATAGATACCTTTATAGACCAATACAGACAGCTTTGACAAGTTCTATTAATAATTGCATAAAATACTTTTCTTTGGATAGAATGTAGTTTTTAACCAATTAATATTGATATAGATAGGCATTTTGCATTTTTTGCCTTTAGCAATAAGGCCATGTAAACACTCTTTAATGCTTTCCTTACATGAATATATTTCCATATTATTGCTTTTATCTTAGTTGACTGGAGCCCTACATGTAGGGTTACAGGATTTTCCTGAATTGAGGATTGGCCTCTTTTTGCTATTATGTCTTCCTGTTCATGAATATGTATGTCTCACTATTTATTCAGATCTTGTTTTATATACATAAATAAAATTTTTCACTATATAAACATTTTATGTTTCTTATTAACATTTATTCCTTGGCATTTCAGTATTTTTGAAACTATTGGGTACAGGGCAATTTTTCCATTTCTACATTTAGCTGACTATGGGAAATTAAAGTTTTGTTTTTTGCATATGTATCTTGTATCCAGCCACATTACTAACTTTTCTTATTATTTTGTAGTATAGATTAGATGTACAATATACAATGTCATCTGCAAAGAATTCCCTTCTCTGATATTTATACCACTTATTTTGCTTTCCTGGAGCATATACATCCAAAACACTATTGAGTAATATTGTGAGAGTAGCCAGTTTAAATAGGGATTCAGTCACTTGTGATTGAAAAGTCCTTGACAAATACCAGAATAACATTCTTAGCAAATGTATAGTTGCTAAATCCAGATTAAACACCTAATGTCTAATCTCAGTATATTATTTTATTAGGGATAGAGTATACAATTTATCTATTGTTCTGGCCTCTTAAAAGGTTCAATAGACTTGGTAACACAGTCATATTCTCTCACATATTGGCAGATGTTTGGCGAAAGAGTGGCTGTTCAGCCAACTCACGGGAAAGTGAAATAGTGCTCTTTCTAAAAAGCAGGAGGACTACAGTTGCAGGCCTTTCAAAATTAAGCATGACTTTCAGATCTTCACAAGACTAGGCCAGGAGATGCAAGTGGCAGAAATCTAAGAGGTCAGACTTGTCTAAGCACTTTTCTCCCCTTTACCCTCCATTAATTATAGTATGCTCCATTAATTATAGTACCAACCTCCACTTATGTGTTGCCTGCACCCCACACCCTTTGGCTGAGGGTGAGGCCCTGCCACTTCCTGAACCCACACTGAGTTCATTGTGGCTCACAGGGTCACCCAGAGGCCTTTAGCGATATAAAAACCTATATGATTTTATATCACCTATGATAGATATCTATGAAATATTAAACATTAAACTATATATGGTTTCATTTATTTTGATTATAAATATCTTTTATGAGATATGAAATAAATGTGTTTATGTGTCTATTAAAGAATATGGATGTATGAGAGTTTTTATACTTGTGGAAGGTTATATATATATTAATGTATATATTTATGACTATACATGTAAAGCCAGCAGAATTCTCACAGAGGAATTCAGAACTCAAAGAAGGCTTTCTGGCAAAGAGCCTTGGATATGGCCCAACCACAAAAGTAAATTGTCATCGAAAGGATGGACACTGCATATTGCTCCTTCCTTGTTTCAGAGGCCAGGATGTGTCTGGGAAAAGCATGCAGTTGGTTACATCTTTCTGGGAAACAGGATTCAGAATCTACGTCTCATCTGTCTGATGAGAAGGAAGCATTACTTGATGATAGAGTATGTGTTTGTGCATGTACGTGTTTGTATATGTGCAGGTGTGTTAGTGTGCAGTGTCCCAGACCCTGCACAGGGGATTTTCTTGACAGTCTCTTGTAACAAAATCTCCTTGAGCCTATCCAAGAGAATTACATCCAGAGATGTAACTAAATACTTTAACAAGGATTGCAGATGACCCCATCTCCAACGTCAGGGATCAAATTTCAACGTGAGATTTGGAGGGGACAGACTTCTAAACTATATCATTCTGTGTGGTCATTCTTTTACATTTCAGCAGTCTAATGTGTGTGTGTTGATTAATGATGTGTAAATAATTCAGCAGAACATTGAAATAGTTTTAATGGGAAAAAGAGGAATTCACTCCTAGTCTTTTTGAATTTTTGTTGAGTTCCAACAGAATTAATCACTGGTTTTAGGTGAAAAGAATTCAGGTTCCGTCTCTACCATCCATGGCAGGTGCAGCTCTGGGGGTGGGATATGGTTACAAATAAATAAAAGATCTGTGCTTCCGCCATTGCTCTAAGATTCTGGCTCTAGTCCAAGATCCAAATTCAAAGTTAGCTTTTGGTGGACAAGACTAAGGCCTCCCACTAACATCATTTACATCAAGTTTTTATTTTCAAAGTTTTCAAACATACACGAAGGAGAGACTCAGTGTAATGAGCACCCACTTATCCATTCTTAGGTTAAATCATTTTCACTATTTTTCTGTGCTAATTCATGTGTCCTTTTATTCTGCCTTTTTAAAGAAAACTTTTAAAAAGCAATTTGTGCCATTTTAATAAGAAATTCTTGGCATGTCATTCCATCACTGAATACTTCATTTAATATAAAAAAATAGGAAAAGTTTGTTACATAGCCACAGTATCATTATCATATCTAAGACAATAAAAATTCTTTAATATTATCTCATTTACAGTCCATAATTAAATTTCCCCTTATTGTCTCACACAACATCTTTCGATACAGACCAATGGAATAGAATGGAGAATTCAGAAATAAACCCATACATATACATCCTTGGCCAATTGACTAGGTACCAAATTTTGACAAGGGTGTCAGGATCATTCAAATGGGAAAGAATAGTCTCTTCAACAGAAGACCCACCTGGGGTCCTTAAGCTCCAGCATCAGACTCCAAAACCATTTGCAGAGATCATCCAGCAGCTCTCACCATGCCTCTGATGAATCCTTCACCATGTGCATCCCCAGGGATCCTGCAAATATTTTCTCACAGTCTGTTGAGTGACCTTTCTTACAAATGCTTCATTGTAGAATAAATATAGGGTTATAGCAAGGTTGCAACAAATAGTTTAGAGAATTCTCATCTACCCTGTGTCCAGTTTCCCCCATTGTTAAATCTCATGTTTCTACGGTACATCCATCACAACTCATTCACCGACATTGACACATAATGATGAACTAAAAGCTAAAGTCTGTTTCCTTCAGATTTCATTAATTTTTACTTAATTTCCCTGTTCTTTTATGGGATCCCATTGATACCACCTGAAATGGAGTTACCATGTCTCCTTAGTCTCCTCCAGCCTGTGATGGTTTCTCAGACTCTCCTTGTTGTTAGTGACTTGGGTAGTTTTGAGCAGCCTGGTCAGGTGTCCTGTAGAATGTTCCTCTAGAATGTTAGTGTGTGTTTTGCCTGATGTTTTCATTGTGGTAAAACTGGGTTTATAGACTTGTGGTGAGAAGACACAGAGGTCTTTTCTTGTTTTTTTGCGTGTGAATATTCAACGGTAGAAAAGCGTAACCTTTACTCCACTGCATTGCCTTTGTACCTTTGTAAAAACTTGGTGGTTCCTACATCTGTGCACGTATTTCTAGACTTTGTATTCTGTTCTGTTGATCTATTTGTGAAATATATGATTACTATAGCTGTGTAATAATCTGTAAATGAGGTATTTTTTTTCATATTGCTTTTGCTATTGGAGGTCTTCTACATTACCATATGCATTTTAGAATAAGTTCATTAATTTGTACAAAAAGTCTGCTGGATTTTGATTGAGATTGTATTGTATTTATAGATCAACTGGGGAGAACAACATCTTAGCAATTTTGAGTTTTCCAATTCATTAACATATCTATTTATTTAGGTCCTTCATCAGTGTTCTGTAGTTTTTAGTGTACAGTCATTCACATCCTTTGTCAGATATATCCCTAAGTATATCATGTTTTTGATGCTATTTAAGTGGTATTTTTAATCCAGTTTTCAATTGTTCATTCCTAGTACAGTTGACCCCTGAACAATGTGGGAATGAAGGGGACCAACACACGTGCAGCAGAAAATCCACATAGAACTTTTGATTCTCCAAAAGCTTAACTAGTAATGGCCAACTGTTTACCAAAAGCCTTACCAATAACATAAACAGTCCAATTAACACATATTTTGAATGTTATTAGTATTATATCCTGTATTATGACAATACAGCCAGCTAGAGAAAAGAAAATGTTATTAAAAAACGTAACATATGAAAAAATGTTCAGCATCACTAGTTATCAGAAAAATGAAAATCAAAACCACAATAAGTTATCCTCTCACACCAGTTAGAATGGCTGTTATTAAAAAGTCGAGAAACAACAGATGGTGGTGAGGCTGCTGAGAAAAGGGACCACTTGTACCTTCTTGGTGGGAATGCAAATTAGTTCATCCCCTGTGGGAAGTAGTTTGGAGATTTTGCAAAGAACTAAAACATAACTGTCATTTGACCCAGCAATCCCAATACTAGATATAAGCAAAAAAAATCGTTTTACCAAGAACCACATGCACTGGTATGTTCATTGCAGCTCTATTCCGAATAGGAAAGACATGAAATCAACCTAGGTGCCTGTCAACAGTGGCTTAGAT